TAAACGATGTAGTAAACTAAACTTGCATTTATTTTTCCAGTTTCTTAAACAAAATTCGAATTTTAATCACATTATTAAAAATTTACCCCTATTTAGTATTACTATTTACCCTTTACCACCAGTGTCCAAAATATAATTTATTTTTATTACACCATAAAAACGAGACTATAGCCAAAACGCGCATCCAAACACGCCCGATCGGTAGGGTTTTAGCTCTCAAGAAAAGTAAAAACCCTTCGTTTTTCACTGATTTCCATCACTCAAAAAAATAAAGGAAAAATGGTAATGTCCGCCGCATCGACCGCCGCCAGATCCATTTTCCGGTCGTCAGCCGTCCGTAACGCCGCCACGAGATTCGCCTCCGAGGCAAAATCAGCTCGGTCCGCCCCCTTCCGCCTCCCATCTAGAGCTCCTCTACTCGCGCACCGCGTCCTCAGGTATCTCTACAATTGTCGTTCCTTCCACGCGCTTGCCTGGAGATTTAGTTGTTGAAGTTCATTTTTTACTGTTTAATTATTCTAAAAGGAACCCCGTCGAATTGAGCGCGTGCCTGGAGTCGATGCAGCCGTACCACACAGCTACGGCATCCGCCTTGATGACGTCGATGCTCACAGTCTCTAGCTGCGGTTATGGTTGGCTACCGGAAGGTACTGTTGTTAACTGTAGATGGGTATATGTAAAAATATATTTTTTTTTTTCGCTTGAAAATTCTTTTCTTCCTTTTTCTGTATAAAATTTGAATTGATGGCTAAATGATTGATGATGACTAGTCGGTTTTCGCCTCTCTGATGAATATCTGCATGTCGGGCCCACATATCAATATGTCTACGGCATAAATTTATAGGTCCAATTAGGTTTGCTTGAGGTTTCCCATGGGAGCTGGAAAGTTTGAAGTATCTTTGTAATCTTAAAAGTAAAAGTAAGTTGTTGAGGCTTAGTGATCTTCTACTATTCCTTCTGAGTAAAATGAGAGTGAGATGGGGAGAGAAGGAGAGAGAGAGAAGAGGGTGGGTGATACTATGCAACCTATTATTGAAGCATGGGCATTTGTGGACCAGTAATTTAGTTGAGGATTTTCTGTTTGCCTAGTGAGAGTTGTATTTTAAAAGCCTTCCTTGAGCGAGACATTTGGTGTCCTTAACTAATTATTACCCTAATTCTCAGGACCCTGATACCTGTATATTCATTTTCATTCCAATGAAGGATCCTATAATGGAGGAGAGGTCAGATATCCAGCAACAGAGGTGTCTCACTAACCATTGTGCTTCTGATGTAGAAAATAAAGCCAGGGTGTAGGCCTACATACAGTGGGAGAGATATTGAGGGAGAGAGGGAGATTCATATAGCTAGATCTCAGGACATCACGAGAGAGACTTGTGAATAATATTTTGGATCAATGGGTTAATTGTTGCAATTTGCTGCTTACTCACTGAATGGCTGGTCTATTTTTAGATCGAAGTGATGAATTATTCCAGATTCTTGCATTACATGTATATGCATGCTGATAACTTTTATTATATAATTGGCTGATAATAATTGACACACTTCGTCCCGTAACTGCTGCAGGAGGGATGGTACATTTGATTTTTCCCGAAAACAATCATGTTACTTTCATGAGCCAAATACGTATGAAAATAAAATAAATAGAACTAGGATCAATAAAATTCCAAGTTAATGGCACTTCTTTCTACATTATAATTGACTTTTTAGAGATGGATTTTTGGCTTCACACATACTAGAAAGGCACAAACAACAATTTGTTTGGGGGTGGATCTATAACTGCAACATAAATTGTAGCCCCTACGTTGGCTCCTTTTTTTTCTTTATCTCTTTTCCCGCTTATCTTTCTATTTCGAACAACTTTCTTGGGAGAGATTATCAGCTTTTCAGTGTACAATGTTGGTATTCTCATGTACGACTCTTGTACTTCCTCCCTTTTTCTTTCTCCAAGAACCAGTTAAATGGTGATGGTTTGCCTAACCAGTGGCTTTTCATTCATGGTTTTAGGTATCTAACGAGCGTATGAGCCTTCTTTTGCTGACCTTGTCCTCCTTTCATATCCCTGGTGAGTCAGTTTTCCCTTTGTGAGTGTCTGGCCACCTAGCATATTTATAAGCTTTGCAGTCTGAATCCCTTTCCATCTCTTCTGATAATCTATTCCTCTGCTGGACTCAGTGTTGAGTTTCCTGTTTCCACATATTGATAACAGAACGTGTTTACATGTTTTAAGTCCTCATTTGATTTGAAGAACCATCTGATTTCTATCTTCTACATGTCTATTTTCTCATTTTGTTAAAGTAGTCTATTTTCATTGATCCTGTTGAAGGTCTACAAGACTAGATGAAGATGGAGAAGCAAAAGATTATTTTAGTTGTCTTAGAACTTTTTTACTGGAACACAATGCTTTAAATTTACTCAACATATTTGCGCATTTATACATAACTAAGACTTCTTTTACTTTCTGTTTGCCAGCAGTTTATAACTCATGATTTGTAGATTTTCTTTAACTCATATATCAGTTAATTTCTTGCAACAAATTCTAGTTTACCCATAAAGTATCTCCTGTGGCAACTACTATAGTATAATCTTAACTATGGCATCTGAGCATGTGCAAGAATAGTATGAATATTAGTGGCAGCTATAGGGGTCATTAACACTCTAGAAAAACTAAACGTGAATGAAGCTTGCATGCTATTATATTATTCAATCAGCTTGCAATGATGATGTTTGATAAACTTTGGAAGGCAAGGGACATTTAAGTGTTACACTCAGTTAACACTGTTCATGCAAAGTGAAGAAAGTTTTCATTGAGCTGGTGAAGTACCATTATGTGTTTTCAGATGTAGAAGAAGTATTAAGTCGTCGGTGTTTTCTCCTTTTTTTTTTCCCCTTTTTATGGAGATATTGTTTGAATACAATCATTTTGTTCCCTTGTGTGTCTAGATTGCTCACCTGGGATATCTTTCTTTTTTTATCCTTTCTTGTCTTTTTATACGCCAAAGTTAAAAGTCAGTGATTTCATTTCTGAAACCGTGTGTCGTATAAATGTTTAGTTCATCTAAGTATTTTTTTTACTAATTTATTTTATATTAATCAGCTTGCAGTGATGATCTATGATCAGTTCCGTCTTTCAAGGTTTCAAGCAAGGTTCTGTCTAGAAGATTGTGTACCCGATATGAACATTTTTTCTTCTTGATCTGTCTTTGTTTGTGTGTGTTTGGACATGACTTCTTGCCAGCCGAGAGCAGTCGAGATGAAATTAAATATCAGCCTGAACACTTGTTTGATGAGATATTTGCAATATTTTAATTGAAGGGTTATTCATTGTTTGTTATTTTTGTCTGCTTAAATCCGGGAAACTCTCGTGTGATGTGGAATCTGCATTTAGGTCTTGCATGAAAAATCTTATAAACTAAATTTGATTTCTGAAAGGAGCAGTGATTGTTTAGCAACTGAAGCAAAATCTGAAGTTCGAAGGATACGCTCTTAAATCAGATTATTTCATCCTTGATTTTTCCAGGTTGTGATGATGCATGATTCAAGTTTTTCTCGAGCACTACTATGAGTACGGTTTAGCGTTTCATCTTGATGGCATCTCGTTTGAAGTTCTGATGTTACTTTTTGCTTTTTCCCTTTAAATCGGTTTGTATTAAATGCTCAAGTTAGAGCTTCAAGCACTTTGACATTTGCCAATTGGTGAAACTGAAGTTCATTTTGTATTTTAGAGTCAGAAGCAAGTAATAAGCCCCCATTGTTTACTTTTTCGAAAAGAATTTTTTTGCAAATGATCCTGTGAGGCAGCTTAAAAGCTTTAAGTTTGCTTAATAGCCTAAGTTTTGCGAATGATCCTGTCAGAAGCAAGTAATAAGCCACTCATTGATTCTTTGATTTCAACCAGCAAGTTCTCTCGGCTTCAAAGTTCTAAGATGAGTTACACTTACATTTTTGCCAATTTAAATTTGAACATTTTCTCCTATATCGTTACAAGGTGACTTACACTCTACAAATATAATATGATCAAAAAATTATAGAGCTCAATATCAAATACTCCATCTATTTTAAAATATTTGTCGTTCTAGGTGAAAAGAACAAAATTACGTCTTTGAAGGAATTGGTTATCTTTACCATGCTATTAAATTTTTTATATCTCTTAAATTTTATTTAAATACCTTTTTAATAGGTTTTCTCTTTCCTTAACATGTCAAAGGGCGGATAATTATCTCAAGAAGAAAAAAAAGTGCTTTCATGTTGGGAATGAAGTTAGAGAGCTTATAAATAAAGATAAAAATCATTAAAAAAATAACAAGCATGAACTAAACTTTCAGAATTTTAGGATTTTATCAAACTAATCAGTTGATGGTTATCTGAAACGATAATTAATTAGTAAAAAAAAAAATACACACTCAAATGACAAGTATTTTAAAACGGAGGGAGTATCTTACTTCCTACCACCATATATTTCTTTGGTTGCCCACTATATAAGTTTTTTATGCGGGATTCCTTCTCATAAACAAAAATACTTCCTCAAAAGAAAAAGAAGAAAAAAAATACAGCTTAATATGTATAAGAAGNATGAGACGAATACACCCGATGGGATAAGAACAGAGTATTGGTTACTATATTAGTAGAGTATTATTTGATATAAACATGTCACTACAACAGAAAAGTTCTCATCTCTCACAAGTTCAAGAAAATCACTTCAACAAAGGATTGCACTTTGTGGCCACTGTATAATACGATTTTGCTCGTGTTCACATTACAAATTACTTGTTGGATTCAATTTCAACTGCCACTATTGCCTTTTCTTGTTCCTGCGGCTTTATTTCCGATTTATCATCTTCTCCTTCTCCTGTTACTTCCCACTGCTGTCTGTGATATCTTAGCATCACTAGACACAAGAACGCTGCACAAAACCACACAAAAATCAAATTAATTAAAAAAAAAGTCAAGATTTTGAATAATGATCTGAAACGGATAGAAATTTAATCAACTCATCCATGCTTAGCTTAAGCTTTCATCTCAAAGTAATTATCTGCTCAACATTTTTTTACCGGCAAATATACGAGTTCTGATAGATGTCAGATTCCAGAAGGCCGTCACAGCCGATGCAGCCACAACCCTTTTGTGTGTGCAGCTTTCCCATGCTTCCATAGCCGACGTTTTCAAATATTCGACTGTTTATTTCCATGATTATGTATAAGCTGTTTAGTGGAAGAGATAGCAACAATGTAAAAATCAGTGGAGGAGCATACTATATAAACACTGACCTTTCTTCAGTATCTGAGAAGAGTAGGCTGAATAGAGCTTCGGGCCTGTGAAGCTGATGAAGAACCCTGTAAAAAATAAAATTATCAAAGAAACCGAGATTTTCAGGAAATCACTATATTGAAATAATTGGACATGATGATACACATATATGAGCTTTACCAAGTGCACATAATCTCCATAAGGTTATAAGATGACCGTACTCTGCTCCCATGAGAAAAATCGGAACAACCTGAAGATGATTTGAAGAAACATTGAGCACATTGTATTTGAGCATCTAAAATTTTCGGTGTAAGATAATATATAGAAAGAAACTAGTGATCTACTTTGAGGGTCATGGCTGGTTCTCCGGAAAACACTTGTCTTGTTTTCGAAATAGCAAGATTAGCAGCCGGTAGCATTAATCTGCCTACTCGAAGTATATCGTCTTCATTCAACTTGAACTCGTGCTTAATTTCATTGCCAGTCCTGCTCTCAACAAGTGCAGCATAGTAGTAAACAAACAGCAAAGAAAAACTATAAACATATTAAGGAAATTTGAAATATATTCAGTTTCTCATACCGCTTGCGCATTGAATTGGAGAAGAATGCCAATCCCAAGAATAGAAGCCCCACTCGAGATACAATCGAGAAAATGCTACCAAAATATCAGTCACAAGAACAGTTTTTTTTAGGCAAATTTCAAGAAACAGATAAAAAATTAAGAGTCATGAATGAGCAAATAACAGAACATTTGCAGAGGAATACCTAAAATTAACCCCCCTTGCAAAGCAAGAAGACAGTATACAGAGAGATCCAAAACCGAACCAAAGGCTCGACTTTGAGACGTCCTTCCACATCACCAAATCATTTATAATCTCGCCAATCGCATCAAGATTGTACCCGACACCATCAACAGTTCCTAAATCCCCAACACACAAACACCCCATTTAATCCCATGAAACTGAGACCAATTTGTTTCTTTAAATCAAACAATAATAATAATCAAATTGAGCAGTAATATGAAAACGAAAAATCAAGAAACTTCATACTTGGCGATGGGACTTTAGAAGGCGCAGCCGATTTCTCTTTTCTCGGTCTTTCACCGTGCCTCTTCTTCCTCGGCTTCACCAAAATCTCCTCCCCTCCAAGACTCTCTCTTTCCTCTCTAAAAACAACATCTTGCTCCAATTTTCTCCTCGACCTCCGAACGCTCCTTGGCGAAGCAATCGAATTTCTGTTCTTGCACCTCTTCCTAACCCCAAAGCTCTCCACCGGGCCACCTTCGTCGCCCACCTCGGGCCTTTCCGCCAAACGGGCCTTCGGTTTCTTAATAGGCGAAGGTGAGAGCACAAGGAACTCTTTCAGAGGCAGAGTGTACGGCGGTCTTGGCGATATCGCCGTCACATCCGGAGATGGAGGCGCTGTTTTGGGGGAAGAAGGGACGATTTCGAGCGAGAGTTGGGGTATGGGCGAGCCGCTGTAATGGCGGAGCTTGGAGAGCCTTGAGGTGGATTTGGGCCGGGACGAGGAGAGAGAGACTGGCGGCGGCGGCGTGGAGTCCATGTGGCGGCGCGAACGGTGGTGGGTGATGATGTGTTTGATTTTGTTGATCGGATTTTGGGGATTTTGCTGTGGATTCTGCGAATTACGGGTTAAGATGGAGACGTGTATTTGATGAGTAGAAAAATGTTTATTTATTTTATTGTTTATTTATTTTATTTTAGGTTTGGATAGCCGTTGGGGAAGTCTTTTTAGCTTTTTGAATTTTGTGGGTAGTTAACGGCGGTGAGTGGGTTGAATAAACGGTAATATGAGGCAATTGGTTCTTTGGATTGAGAGTATCTTTTAGCTTTAGTGATAGACTTTGGGGTCATGGTGTCGTTGAGACTATTATTAATCATTTGTGGAATTGTGTGTATATAGTTGACAATTTGGAACATTACTTAGTATACATATTGTAAGGTTTATTATATTTTAGATTACACGTAATTTGTGATTTAAGAAAAATGCTATATTTACATAATAATTTGTATATAAAGGTATTATAATGTAGAATCATCTTGGTAAAATATTTAAATTAATCCAACCACATGTGTATGCATCTCAACATACAAATTAATATGTACATATATATATAATTATTTTAACTGGATATTGTAGGTTAGTAATATCATTATTAAGAAGAATTAACTTCAATGGTGATACTCAATATGTTTGTCAACTCAAATAATGAGCAAGTTATTAATTTATATTGCTCAGGCAAACATAGTAGGAGATGCATGATTTGATCGAGTGAAATGGATTGTACCGAAAGTCTTGTCGTGATAGTTTGATGTTTCTATATTTGCCAGTGACACTTGTGAGTAGAGCTGTTAAACGATATGAGTCACTCGTGAGCTCGTTTCATCTCGTCTCGCTTGATAAACGAGCCGATTTCAATCTTACTTAAAGCTTATTTCGTTATTAAACTAGGTTTGGCTCAACTCGTTAAGACTCGAAAAGAGAAATTCCATATAATTTTCTATAGTTTGGTTCATTAAAACTGGAGAACAGCTCATTAAGCCTCGAACTCGATTCGTTAGTATTGATACGAGCTGAGCTTGAGCTTGATTTTTGACTTGTTTACTTAACGAGCCGAGCTGGACTACAACTCTAATTGTTAGATAAGAATTTTGACAACCCATTATTAAGTAATGAGAACGATTGTGCCAAGTAATGATGAGTTGATCTACACAATTAATTCAAGTGTAATAATTCTAACTCACTTAATAATATCTCACGTCGTCGAATGAAGATATAAAAAGCAGAATTTAACATCATCAATGTGTGCATGCCACATCAGCGGTGGACATATTAACATGTGCCCACCGTGGGCATGTGAGCATTTTCCCTAAAAATATAAGTTCCGTTTATTATCTATATATATAATTACAAGCTAATGAATTTAGTACTATAAATTCTGCTTTTTATATCTTCATTCTTCGACGTGAGATATTAATAACACCTGTTCAATCGTGTTCAATTTCGGCTCCCAACAACCCAAATTTCGTATTTCCATCTTCTCATAACTTAGTCAGGGAACCCGAATGGTTCAACGAACTATTTATGTGAAGCCACGGATAAATAAATTCAATCATATAACTGAAAAAAAATAAAATAAAATAAAAAACGACCTATACATCGAGACATGTAGAGCAGAATAGGCGAGCATAGATTGATACACACATAAAAGTCCGATATTGTGAAACAAATTTATCTTGTTGAGTCGAGACATATAACTTATTATCACTTTCATCAATTGACCTAGATGGATGGTCCTCCAACCTCAATAGAATTCTGTTGTACAAAATTTTTTATAAACCAGTTAATTGATGAAGACTAGCTCCCAGGCCTTAGGTTCTCCCTCTGAATATAAAAGTTGCTTCTCATATCTTCGCTCTGCGTCACACAATAACATTTGCTCAATCGCACTTAATTTCGTCTTCCGACAACCCATGAAACGTATTTCCACCTTCTCCACAACTTTAGCATGCCTCAAGAAATAGCTCATCATGTCACGATCGTGCCTCCCATACACGTCGGAACTCATTCTCAAAGTCCTTAAACGTAACAAGAAGCACGTAGGAATTCGTCTAGGCTCCTCCCAATATGTCAGTCTTGCATCAAACTGAGAAAAACAAATGTATGTGTAAGAAGTTGTATTACATATATGTCCAAAATAGAAAAACAGTACACCATAAGAAAAGATAACAATTTTCAATTGCATCAACAGAGTTCACTCACAATACTTAGGATTTCAAGATTATCAGTGCTCTCAAGGATTTTCATCATGAACTGCGAATGGCCGTGCGGTTGGATTTCGAGCCTGGTCAAGTTGTCAAACTTAAAAACAGCATGATCATCAACAATCTGCAATTCAGAAAAACCTGCTCTCAAACAACTATCAACTTCAGCTCTTGAGAATAGATTAAAGAGGAGCCTGCACGTACCTTCGTCCAATAAGAATCCAATAATCTAAAGCACTTTACGTTAGAAAGACAATCAAGAAACTCTGCCAATTCCGGGCTATTCCAACCTGATCTTCCCCCAAAACTTACGTCTGCTTCAATTAGTGACGGCAATTGGGAGGTGAATATAACCTTATGTGTCGCCTTACCCATAGTAAGATATTTGAGTGTGGGAAACTTTATCTGCAGGCTCGGAGTGTGACAAACAAGAGGAACGAGAGTGAATCGTTCAAGTGTGGGTGAGGATATGTGGCAGATTTGATCTTCATCACCAGTGGAGAAATCCATAAACGATACAGAAGAAAGGGTCAAATCCACAAGAACAGGACAGCCAGAGAGAAGCGAGGCAGGGCATCAGGGTCACAAATAATACCAGAAAGTTCAAGCTTCTTGAGGCTGGGGAAGTAAAGGTTTTCAGTATCGGATGATCCGAGGTTTCCGGTGGCGTGAAGCCTCAGCTGGACTAGGGTTTCGCAAGTGAATTGAAGTGGATAATAGGGCTCCATGTTAAATTCATACATATCAATGTCAATACTAAGGAGATCGCAAGCGAAGGCCGACCTAATTAGCTTGTGGACTTCATCCAAGGCGTGATAATCATGAGCGCTATTCTCCACGAAGACGGGACAATCATAAGCGCTATTGAGGAGAGAGGCGTTTATGCTCTGCAGCATGTGCCGAGATGGTGTGCCGCCATTGGTGTCTCGGAAGGTCATCCGCACACGAGAGCTTGAGGCGTGGCCGTAGAGATCCAAATTGGGGACGTGGGCCCACAGAGAGGTCCATCCTCTGGCAAGAACGCTGGTCGACACAGAAAGCTTTGTTGGGAGACGGGCGAGGATTTGCGTAACGACGTCGTTGGGCAACGCGCTTAGTCTGTCGATAGGTTCTTCTGTTTTCGCCACAACAAAAATCGGGAAACAGATCGCGGAAAGGAAGCACAAAATCCAATAAGAAGTTCTATTATTCCTAATAATGACTTATTGAATAAAATCCAATTACAAGGAGGACAAAGTATCACGTATCTCGGTTTTGCCGTAGAGCCAACAGCTGGCTCCATAATAAAACCAACATTCTATATACATCAAATAAACCTACCATATTAATAAAATTATATTAACGTTATTTAAGTAGTCAGAGAATATGGTAAGTTTATTTAATGTATATAAAAAATTGACTCCACTATGGAACTAACTGTTGGCTCCATAGCAAAACCGTCACTTATCATCCAAAATTATTTATAAACTAGTGACAGTTTAGGTAAATTTCATCCTTTCAATTAATAGTTGGTGATTCAATCATTGCCAAACTAATTTTTTCTTAATAGTTTTATTAATGTCCATATAATAAAATTAAAATATATTTACTATTCTTTAGAATTTGAGCATGTGATTTATTTGTATATTATTGTCAATCATGATTAATTTTCTTTATTTTGATTTCTTTTTTATAATGAAATTAAAGCAATATCTTTTGTCACTCTCCAATTAACATTTTTCGTTCTTTTCTAGGATTTGTGTGTGTTTGTTGCACATTATGAAATAAATATCGGGAGATTTTTTGTGAGTTTTAGGCATCTCTAGAAGTAGGGAATTGAGTAAGATTCGAAAAAAATGACTTATGAGGATAATTTTCAAAATTTCAAAAATTTTCAGAGTTTATCAAATTTTGAGAGTTGAGATGATATTTAAAATTTGGATTCATATTATATTTGTTGAAAGCTACAAAAAATGAAAGAGATGATAAAATTAATAATGTAGGATAAGAGAAAGAGTGAAAAAAGAGAAATTGCAATAGTGTTCCAAAACCTATAAAATAAGGTCTCTATTCATAGAGAATGAAAAATACAAAGTTTTTGAACTTTTTATTTTTTAATATAAATTAACCCAAAAATATATAAATTATTTTTTTTTATCTTAACTAAAAAACACACTTGTCCAATAGAAATAGCACAAGTGTCTCATTCCCAAGCTTGAAAACCAGTCGCGACCCAATGCCACATTGTGACCGGGTCGCCAATTTTCATGATTGTTTCTTTTTTTTTTATTGGTGACACAATGAATTGGGTCACTAATAAACCAAGTCTAAACTAGCTCCAAACTAGCCATGAAACTTTGTGCTAGTCAGCCGAAAATAATGAGTATAAAAACACACCAAATTATCTGAAATTTGGCCGACAAATACAAAGAAAACCAAATCTAAACTAGCTAAGAAACTTTGTTCTAGTCGGTCCAAAATAATGGGTATAAAAACAAACAAAGTTATCTGAAATTTGGCTGACAAACACAAAGAAGAATATGATGTGGTAGACTAGCCAAGAAACTTTGTTCTAGTCGGTCCAAAATAATTAGTATAAAAACAAACCAAATTATCTGAAATTTGGCTGACAAACAGAAAGAAGAATATGATTGGTTCAAATAAAAATCAAGTATTAGTATGAGTACTATTATTTTTAATTCTACACTAATCTATCAACATGAGGTTCAAACCCAAGGCCATAAATAATCTCCAATTGATGAAGACAAGCTCCCACGCCTTCTGAAAATAAATTTGCTTCTCATATCTTCATTCTACGTGAGATATTAGTAACACCTGCTCAATCGCATTCTTCGGCTCCCAACAACCCAAAGCATATTTCCATCTTCTCATAACTTACTCAGATAACCGGCATGGTTCAACGAACTATTTATATAAACCAACAAATAAATAAATTCAAGCATATAATTGAAAAAAAAAAGAAAAGAAAAAAGAAACACAACCTATATTTCGAGAATATGTGAGCATAGATTGATAAACACACATAAAAGTCAGATAATGTGAAACAACTTTAGCTTGTTGACTCAAGACATATAACTTATTATCANATTCCAATGAAGAGCAAGCTCAAAAACCATAAATGATCTCAGTTGATGAAGATAAGCTCCCAGGCCTCAGGTTCTCCCTCTGATAATAAAATTTGCTTCTCATATCTTCGCTCTACGTCACACAATAACATTTGCTCAATCGCACTTAATTTCGTCTTCCGACGACCCATGAAACGTATTTCCATCTTCTCCAGAACTTTAGCATTCCTCAAAACATAGCTCATCATTTCACGATCGTGCCTTCCATACACATCGGAACTAATTCTCAAAAACCTTAAACGTAAAAAGAGGCACATAGGAACTCGTCCAGGCTCCTCCCAACATGTCAGTCTTGCATCAAACTGAGATAAACAAATGTATAAGAAGCTATACTACATATATGTCCGAAATGAAGAGAAAAAAAAAACATACACCAGAAGAAAAGAATGCACTTTTCGATTGCATCAATAGAGTTCACTCACTATACTTAGGATTTCAAGATTATCAGCACTCTCAAGTATTTTCATCATGAACTGCGGATGGCCGTGCTCTTGGATTTCGAGCCTGGTCAAGTTGTCAAACTTAAAAAAAGCATGATCATCAACAATCTGCAATTCAAAAAAAAACCCTGCTCTCAAACCACTATCAACTTCAGCTTTTGAGAATAGATTAAAGAGGAGCCTGCACGTACCTTTGTCCTACGAATATGCAATAATCTAAAGCACTTCACGTTAGAAAGACAATCAATAAACTCTGCTAATTCCGGTATATTCCACCTTGATCTTCCCCGAAAATTCACGTCTGCTTCAATTAGTGACGGCAATTGGGAGGTGAATATAACCTCATGTGTCGACTTACCCATAGTAAGATATTTGAGTGCGGGAAAATTTATCCGCAGGTTCGGAGAGTTATACAAACCAGGATTGTCAGAAAAACCAGGAATGAGTGTGAATCGTTCAAGTGTGGGTGAGGAGATGTGGCAGATTGGAGGTTCATCGTCAATCAAGAAATCCGTTATCGGTACACAAGAGAGGGTCAACTCCACAAGAACAGGACAGCCAGAGAGAAAGCGAGGCAGGGCATCAGAGTCATAAAAGAAATGAGAAAGTTCTAGCTTCTTGAGGCTGGGAAAGTAAAGGTTTTCAGTATCGGATGATCGGAGGTTTCCGGTGGCGTGAAGCCTCAGCTGGACTAGGGTTTCGCAAGTGAATCGGGGTGGATAATACGGCACCTGGTTAAATTCATACATATCAATGTTAATACTAAGGAGATCGCAAGCGAAGGCAGACCAAATTAGCTTGTGGATTTCATCTTCATCCCTGACGTGATGATAATCATAAGGTCTATTGAGGAGAGAGGCGTTTATGCTCTGCAGCATCTGCCGACATGGTACGCCGCCGGTGGTGTCTCCCAAGGTCATCCGCACACGAGATCTTGAGGCGTGGCCGTAGAGATCCAAATTGGGGACGTGGGCCCACAGAGAGGTCCATCCTCTGGCAAGAACGCTGGTCGACACGGAAAGCTTTGTTGGGAGACGAGCGAGGATTTGCGTAACGACGTCGTTGGGCAACGCGCTTAGTCTGTCGATAGATTCTTCTGTTTTCGCCATAACAAAATGGGGAAACAAATCGCGGAGAGAAACGCAGAACTGACGATTATAATAACTCGAGAGCCCCGTTTGTTTTCATAAGGGCGTGCTTGTTTATAAAATAACATAAAAATTTATCAAAATTTAAAACATAACTCAATTTTAACTTAACTCCATTATAATTAAATATGATCATCATTAATTATTCCATATTACATAGACTTTAATTCATTGTTATCCACTCACATAATCACTATCTATCATTTTCAATCATTATCTTTTACTTTTATATCAACTCAATTTTAATCATTTTATTTTAATTATTATTTTAATGCATTCTTAAAATTTCACTAACAACTAAACATATTAACTTTTTTCAAATAAACTCTAATTAACACAAAAGACTAGAAAAAAACCAGCTTTTTTTAGTTATTTTATAAACAAGCACGCCCTAGACAAGATAGGATTAGGACATTAATCATAAGTCTATCTCGATACAACATAAGAGTAGGGCATTAATTATGGGTCTATTAGTATTTATTAACTTGGACCGCAACCCTCAAGATTAGATTCGGCCAGGATGAATAGTGATTTAGTCTTACATATTCAAGGGTCTTTTTTTTAAAAAATGATAATTATATTAATAATTGAAAAATTTTTAAAAAAAAAGTACAAATAGAGTGTTAACTGACACAATAGGAACCAGAAAGTCTGGACCCACCCCCTTGAACATACTAGTCCAATGGGTACAAACTCCATCAAGAAGCCAATCGCACACACAAAAACCAACTCTATAAACAAGACTAGAAATCTATAACGAATACTGGATGTCAGACACGATTAGATTTCAGAAAGATAAAAACAACTCACAGCTAATAAACAAAACAGAATAATACCTCCCGTAAACTTAGAAGTTGAACCCCACGACCACCTAAACAGACTATTGAGTCACATCCACAACAAAGAAGCCCAACTGAGCAACAAAACTATACAACAACTTTGAAAATTGCGGCAACTCAACCACCTAGACGGATTTAGAGTCCAGATCTAGACTATGAAGAATTTCAACACCGAAGGAGGAAAGGAGAGTCGCCAAGAACACACCGAAGGGCCCGAGGCAAGGATTCGAGGAGGCCCCACCCGCTGCAGCCCACAGCAAAGCGGCCTGGCCCGAGGCGCCGGCGGCCGGCGAGGCGCGGCAGTGCAAGACCTCTAAGATGATGAAAAGTGCGCGCAAGGCCTGACCTCCGTCGAATAGGCGGAATCTTGCGGCTAGGCCTGGAAATGGCGGTCGACGACCCCTCAGATGTCTGGAAATTAGGACATTAATCAAGAGTTTATCTTATATTTCGTAACTCGGACTGCGACCCTCAAGATTAAATAACACCAAAATTAAATATGATCGTCCAATGGTTTGAACATTTAAAATCATTTATTCAATATACTAGTACAATAACCATATATTACATTGGTGCGCGTGAAGAAATTTACATTTAAAATTAAAACAAAAAAAAAATATAATTTTCAAATATTTTTATAAAAAACTATATTTAATTTATATTTAAAATGGCACCCGCCATTTATATGCCTTAACACGTGTATTATATTAATTTTTTTAACCTATATCATATAATAAATTTGTAGTTAAATCAATTTAAATAATTTTTTTTCCAATTAATATTAATATATAGATTAGTTTTTATTATAAAGATAAATATAATTACATATTTATTTTAGGTGCAATACAGATGTAAAATCGAATATTATCAAAACATGATTAATTTGATATATTATATCTAAAGAATTGATAGTAAATAAAAAATTTATTAGCTGTTGTATCTATTTATAATTTTATAATTTATGTGAGTAAATTTTTTTATAATTATAAAAGAAATATTGAAATAAAAAATTATGCCTTATAAACCACGTATAGAATAGGAAATGATATTCAAACATAATTAATGCTCCTAAAAATGATCATAAATATCCCATACATATACATATAGATGTTCCAAGCTTAGTTATTTTTAGATTGTAAATAAATTGAAATCTATCCAAGCCAAAAACGATAAACCATAAAAATTTGTCACATAGGATTTCGAAGCGGGTGAGACTATCACTGAAGCTCAATGCATTAAAAAGTTATATATATAGAGGGAATTTCTAAAAAAAAAAACCTTATAGAAAATCTCACTCAAAATTCCACCTCCAAGCTTTTAAGATTTCACCGGATTTTTTCAAAATACGAGAATCTTAAAAAGTCACAAATATCAAAGTCTAAAAATGTTACAAATTTCAAATTAAGATTTCACCATATTCCTTCAAAATCTCAAAATTTTAAAAAGTTTTATAATGTCACGAAATCCAAACGAATACTATTTGATAACCATACTACAAAGTCCATTATAATAAACTGAGGAACAATCACAACTCACAAAGATACCCCACCTTAAAACAAAACGGCAATTTCCAAATAAAACGTAATTATTCAGGGACATAAACCATCGTCTGGATGCTTAAACAGGTTCACACCACGAATTACAAGCGTTGAACGTACATAACCAACTTTTATCCAGCGACAACATCCCAGTCTCAAAAGCAGACAACACAAGACAAAATAAACTCCGAAGAGAAACTCGGTACAAATATTCGGTCGCAAAACTCGACTAAATTCTAAAAAAAATCCACCTTTTTGTTCGAGCACCAAACCACAACAGGCAGAACTCACAGAACACCCAATCCACATGCTCTAGAGACGCCGGGCCCAATAACCCCCAAACCTACAAGAGCACAAGCCCGAGCTCGGATGCCTTGAGGACATGCTTGAGCCTATAGTTGTACAGATAGTAGTGGAGCTTCCCATCCCCTGGCCCGAACTTGAGCTCCTTCAAAAAGCTCTCATTGTGCATCACATCCAAAGCATTAAAAACATCGAAATCCTTCTTCTTGGCAACAATCAGGGCATCGTTCATCAGCTGAAGCAGAGGAGTCTTGGTAGAGACATTATAATACGAATAAGCCGCCTTGAGAATCGAGTGGTTGGGGCTGCCGAGTATAGAAGACGGAAGAGTGTAGAAACTGACAAAATCAGTGATCTGATGATTTTCCGGGCTCTCGACCAGAAAACTATCCACAACATCTTCCTTGGGCAGCAACCAATGCTCGACATCATTCTCGTCGAAATCAGGCGCCACAGCAAACTGCTTCAGGTAGTTGCGCAGCAAACGGGTGACAGCTGGCACGTCGTGGGGCTCCATTTTCCTGAACCCGGGAGTCACCGTCTGATCTGGCAGCTTGTACAGCTTGATCGTGCGGCTCATGGTCATCCGGGCCCCGAGCCTGGAGAAACCCACATCGATTAGCTTTTTCGGGTTGAGAGACCTGTGCCAGTACTGACACGTCGTGATTGGCGTGGGGAGCACAACGCCAGCTGTGTAAGCTGCCTGCCAGATGTTCTCCAGGTGGACCCTACGAGTGACCTCCTTGATCATAACAGGAGCCAGCCTTTTGGAGCGGAGCTTCTTGTGGACACACAGGAAATTCACTTCGGCCATCAGAACGACTGTTTCACGTACGCGGATTCTTGCCGGGATCCCGGTTATGAAAGCGACGAGCTTTTTCGAGCTCTTGACACGAACTCCGATGTGCCAGCTCTTGAAGTAGCCAGGGGGGCGTAGGGCCCACCTGAGGAATTCTTTAGAGTAGTTGAATCTGAACATGTTTTCGTCGTCCTCGACATAGTTGTTGGTCAACAAGGTGTAAACCTCGCTGCAAACCTCCTCGGAGTCTATGTCGCATGTGATCCACTCGTAAGGGGTCGGGAGGTTGTAAGGCTCCTGTTTGACTTCTTGCAGAGGGGTGGGAGGCTCGATTGGGCCTTCGGGCAGGCTTGAGTCACCAAGATCCTTGAACTGGCCCACGGGCTGAGTTTCCCAGAATTTGTGGCGTTTGGAGAGAGAAAGGGACTCTTGAACCTTTTTCGCTAAGGCGTTGATTGATATTTCGTGCTCATTTTCTTCTGGATGTGCGTTGGTCTCGCTAGGGCTATTGCTATCGGTTGGTGCGTCTTTATCCGCCATTCTTTATTACGAACACAGAAAAAAAAAAGATATATTACTGAGAAATGACCAGCAAATGCTAAGTAGAATTATATTCTTCGATGAAAAGGTTTCCAGATGCGCATACGCAATATATAGTTTCGTAGCAGCTTCAATGGGCACACACTAGCACATTCAACTCCTCATACATGTGCAATTAGCACACCAAAATGCAGCACCTATCAAGTTTTACTTGAAAAACAATAATAAATACTGAAAACAAAGGTTCAGAAGAACATGAATCTCGGGAATTTTCCAGAGGAAGTTAATGCTTTGTGGACCTATATCAACGGAAGACATTCATCAAAACCTACTCAACTCAATCAAACTTCGACAGAAACTGAACAAATTAATGAGACTAAACAGTGGAATAATAATAATTCAACAAATCAACATGGGAAATCATTTTTCATCTAAATGCCACAGTTTCTACAGAGACCCAGACCAGTGCTAGAGATATCAACAGATAGTGCTCAAATAAGAACCCAGAAAAGAAGCATTGTAAAAAGTATTCAAAAAGATAAAAAGAAAAAATCAAATCGGGAAATAGCTAAAAATAACAACCTGATTTCAAGATCCTGCTGCACACAAACAAGATATCAATAAAAATGTCAAGCAGGCATATCACACCGCACGCATCAGATTTTCATAGAACGAAAACAACAACATTTTAGCACAAATCAATACGAAAATTGTCCACAGACGAACTCAACACTACAAAACTACAAATCGAGGTGCAATTAGGGAAAAAAAGAGGCTGACACAAGGTGAAAGAGCAGAAGAGGCGATGAATTTAGATCGAACCTCGGAATCGAAAAGAGAAAACGCTAGATTGATTAGAACAACTCCTCGGATCTGCGCTGTTGAGCTGGAGAACGATGTCTCGGAGTTGAACAACTCCTCGAACGGCGTGCGTCCTGCGATGGCTACGAGGAGGGCTCGGCTCTCGCGAGTCCTCGTCGATGGCAGAGGCTAGGACGCCGGCGGAAAAAGTGGTTGATTTTCCGAGAAGATGGTGGTCGCCGGAGAACGATCTGAGGAGGAAGGGTGATTTTTAGGAGATGAATCTCAGAGATCTTGAGAAAGAGAGCTTTCTGATGATAGAAGAATGGAAATCGCCATCTGAAGAAAAATACGTGAAAGACGGAGAAAGGGGCTCTTCTTACGGGAGAATTAAGGGAAAATTATATGCTTAATTATCCCATAACTAAAATATATCAAGGTTACAATTAAGGGCAATAAGGTCGGTCAAATGGAGTGCTTATGGGCTGGAACAAACTCACTGATTGGGCCTTCTTAAATTTGAAATTCAAATAAAAAGGTCCACCTTTTTAAAGCATTGGGGCGGCTCGGTCTTTTTGAGAAATTGGCCGGGTTTAATGGGCTACAATGAACCGAATAATTGAAGCACTTGTTCAAAATGATATATTCAAGGTTCGGGTGGAAACGACTCAAAAACGGATTTAATTCGGTTTACGTGATTAAACCGAAAATCGCCGAAACAATTTAAAATTTATATCAAATAAATCATAAATATTCTAATACACTAGTAATCAACATGTGCATTTGCACATAGAAAAATACTTTAAAAAGATAACAATATAAAAGAAAACAAAAATAAATTATAATTTAATTCATGAAAAAAAAATGAATTAAGAAAATAATTCTCAGATTTTGTTGCTATGGAATAGCCGTTACAACAATTTTCTCTATGTTAATACACCCTGCCATTTTCATGAGTGGGTGTAACTTAAAATTTGAGTACTATTTTGTAACTCTCTTGATTGTTTTATGCTCATAATTTATGGCATTCAAGCAAGTTATTTTGTAACTTAAAAATGAAACTGAATGTTGAAAATTTTGGAGGGAGAATAAAATTTAATGCATGATAATATAATTTAATGCTTTGATATTCCTCTTTATATATATATAGACAGTAATAACATATAAACATATAATAACCATATATTTTAGCCACATAACAATTTAAATAATAGACAGATAAATGGAACGAGCAATTAATATCCTAACCGGCAAATAAATAAAATAAGACAAATATTCAATATAAGTAAATAAATAATAATATAAAAATTCAAAAATTCTAACAAACGAACGGGGCGTTACAATATCGACTATACCAGCCCGACTGGATGGTGTTCAGTGGTTGCTAGCAAACATTTATTAAGGCGAACGGAACCGATGGATAAATCGTTTTCGGTCTGTCCAGTCGAACTTTCTAGTCCGGTCTGATTTTGAAAATAATAAGTAAATCATGATTGATGCTATTTATATATGTAAGTTATAATTCGATTCAATATAATATTGTTTTCACATGTCACGTGCCAATTTGTTAATGAACAATGGTGCAATAAATGGCACAAAATCGTAATAATGGATATTGAAAAATTTTAAATCAAATTGTAGCACAATCAAAGAAAATAGTTGTACCAAATTGTTAATGAACAATAATGCAATAAATGGCCCAAATCGTTAAAATGAATATTGGGAAATTTTAAAAATTGTAGCCCAATCAAAGAAAATAGTTGAACTGCACACTAACTCAAAAAAAAGATCAATTTCTATACAAAATAATTGAAACTAATCGCACCAAATTGCATGATGGGTTCAATTTCAACTCGATTTTATCCACCCAAACATACTACTCTTAATTCAGGTAATCTTAGAATTAAATAATTTATAAAACATAAAATGATATACAATATGTAAATTTGAGTGACAGGATCAAAGTTGCAAAACGAAATAGCAAAAATTTGTAAGAAAAATTAGTTTTGTGCGGATTTTATTTTTAGGAAGATTTAGTAAAAATGTCAATTTAATTTGTTGGATGAGAAATTAATTGCCGATTTATTAATCTATTGCGTATCTATTCTATCGTATAGGTTGCGGAGACAGCAAGAAAGCTCGGGATTTTTGTCATTGCCGATTAAGTGTATGGCCACCTTACGTTTGGAAGTAACTCTGTTTGTTNTTACGTATACATTAACTTGCTAAGTATGGTTGGTTTTAAATTGATGATATTGTAATCTGGAAAAACCATACTCGGTTCTTTCTTCGTTTTGATTCTCTTTCTCATCTTTCCACATTTCAGACTAAATGCAGGTGTTTTCCTTTGTTCTTCTTCCTTTGTCATTTTTTCTTTTATTCGCTTTTATATATATGCTTGAATAGCATTCGCTAAACTATGTTCAAGTTGCTAATAGTAAGATATCTGAGGTCTGAAAATTAATTTAGACTACTGCAATAGGGTGGTGCCTTTGTTTATGCCAGTAGGCAAATTAACAATCTACAAGTAAATACTAATTACATATAAAACTTAAGGTTGACCGACAGATTAAGTGCCCTTGGGAAACAGAACATAGACTTGTTAGACGTTTTCATTTTTTTTGTTTTTATAGTTGTGTCTTTTCAGAATCTTTACAAGATTTATCCATTTCAGGCCAATTTTTTTTATTTTTGTTTATTGGATCACAAATTATTACGAGCTACACAAAAGGAAAAAAAAAAATGGCTAACTGCACACGTCACAATTTTCGCTAAATATTAAAACAAAAAATGTAGAATTACTTGATCATTAAAAAGATTGTAAAAACTTGAGAAGTATTATTATTTTGCATAATGCCGACAGTCAGAATTTATTTTGTGACATAAAAAAGCCCATACATTAGTTTATCCACAGGATAGTGGAATAACGTGAGTCACGAAAAGCAGCATTTATTGGTTCCAAATGTAAGCTTCAGCGAACAAGTCTTTGGATGAAATATCACTTCAAGCCCCGTAATTATCATGCCACTATAATTTTCAACCCACACACAGAGAGAGAGATGCTACTTAAGTAAGGAATGAAAATTAAAAGCCAAACAAAAAAGGAGAGAAAGAGACGCGGGTTTGTTTGTTAGAAAGACGTGTATTGGGAAGCAAGGACACACGTGTTAATTGTAGATTGGAGAGATGGTGAGAAGTAGGTCCGAGGTTCGGTGGTAGAGGATGATGATGAATTATTGTGATTATTATTACTACAAAAGTGATAGTTCGCAAACAAAAGCTCGTCTGAATTAGTTCGTGTTCAACAAAAATATTTTTATATTAATCGAGTCGGGCTCGAACAAAAAATGTTACGGGGTATGTAAAAATATATGTATATTTATGGTAGATTTACGAAGTTGTACTCTATATGTATACATAGAGCACGACTCGTAAACCCACCGTAAATATACATATATGTTTACATATCGTAACAGATGTGTTGATATCAATAAGACTACGACAAAGTAGTTCTATGGAAATTCAAGAAAAAAAAAAAGACAAAACGAAAATTGAATGCTTAGGGATTTAAGAACAGAAAGTCAAGGAGAATCGAATGCTCGCATTAACACGCTAGCTTTTGCTACAATTAATTACTCTAGGGGCTTTTGTTGCTTTAGTTTTCGATTATTTTTCTTGAACACAATGAATGTCTATTTATAGAAGGGGAAGAGCAATAAGTTATATTATTGTCGGGACACATCGCGACTTTTCAGTGGGTCTATTACATGCAAGGCGTCGCGTGGTACAACAACTTTCTCAAGTTGCTGATCATTTTGGGTCGTGTGTACCAGTTTTGAGAGGCAATTTTTTTGACATTGTGCGAGGGGACCGGCAGATAATAGTTTTATCAGTGTTTATTCGCGATGTGAAGAGACTATCGTTCTACGTCATAAGGACGTAGATCTAACCCATCTGTGATCGACATAGAGAATGGCATCGATACCCATTTGGATGCTCGGGTCGACGTTTTGTATACCACCGATAAACTTGTCGTCTACATCATCACGTAATGGGTTATTCAAATCGACACATTTTATGAATAACAATAGAAAATTAAATTCGTTTGTCAACCGAACAAACACGAGTCTCTTCGCGAATTTCGCAATCATTAATTTAATATAATATATATATATATATATATATGTTTGTGTGTGTGTGTGTGTGATATGTTTAATACAAAGTTCTAATAAAAATATGTGTTTGCTTGGATTCAAGAAATCTAGACAAAATTCAAATATTTTTAACCACTTTTTTTAACTGAAGTTTCACTCACTCTCACTATTTTAAATATTAAATATAATTAGGTAATATAATCAACCATTCTTACACACCACATTGACTTTAATTCGATATTCATCAACTCACATAATTTTAACAAGTCATCACTTCACATCATATATCTCCTACTTTTATATCAAATCAACTTTAATTATTATATTTTAAATATTATTTTAATATATACTCAAAATCTCACTAACAACTAACTATAACAAAATAAACCCTGATTAATTAAAAAATTCAAACAAACACAATAAATCTTATATCCAAACATCCCCTTAGAACCAACCCATTAACCCTGATCGCAAGCAAAGTAAAGAATCGTATGTCCAAAAATCTCAGCGAATTTATTTTATTAAAAAATTGTTATTGGATTTTGAACCAACCCGATCTCGAGATAATCAAACAATTTCAATAAACTTGTTACTAATTCTGACTTATAATTAAACGAACGATCTCGAACATTATTTTTTGTTTTAGTAATAAACGAACAATACAAATATTGTTCGAGAGCTCAAACACAAGCTCGTTTTGTTCCATCACAACATAAATAAAACCAAGTCAAATTAAAATACGACATTATATTATGTAGATACACTCAGTAGCCCTAACAAACTGACAGTGGGCGGTGGAGTATAGTAAGGGAGAGATTCGTAGTGTATGACATAAACTGGCGGAAATGGGTGTTGGCCCACTACCATGAAGGACACCATGAAAGAAGGGAAAGGCCTATATAAAGCCCAAATGGGTTCTATCCCAAAACCAATTGGTGGAAGGAGGAGTAGCTCATTAGTCTTATAAGGTGGGTCTATTTTCCATATATAAAAGCCCAAGCCCTACTACAAACAGGTCTTTCGAAAGCCCAAGCCCAACTGGGCTGGGTGCCCCAAGCCCTACTACAAAGAGGCTCTCATAAACGGGTACGAGTACGTGGAGGATAAACAATGGGTACGTCATCATACGGTCCAAGATAGAACCGGCTCTGATACTATGACAGAAACACGGGTACGGGTACGTGGGGGATAAACAACGGGTACGTCATCACACGGTCCAAGATAGAACCGGCTCTGATACTATGACAGAAACTGGAGAA